ATGCACATAATATAATTAGAGAATTATTTTTAATGCGTACATATACATGTAAAATGCTGTAATTTTGGGGGTCTGGAACGGATTAATCAATTTTACATTAATTTTTGTGGGAAATGTTGATACAGTTCTCGAACAAATCGGAACTCGAACAGCCTTCTGGAACGGATTAAGTTAGAATTCCGAGGTTCCACTGTACATATAATTATTATTTTTTTGTAATTTATATTTAATTGAGATGATAACATGTTACAAGTAGTTAAGTTTTTCAGCACACAGCTGCATAATTGTAAGAACTAAACACATTAACTGGCAGGAGCCAAGCATCTCATTTTGTAAATTAAAAATAACAGTAGAGGAAGAAAAAAGCTTATCTCAGCGTAGTAAATAATAGAAACGTAACAGATTAAATGCACAGGTAGGAAGCCACTGGAGTAAATAGCTATATATGGTTTGGCCTACATACAAAATAAAGTTGAGAGCAAGATAAGGACCACAACTAAAGAAATGACACAAGGCAAACTGAGTTACCTGAGTTGGCAATCCTCATAGTCCAACAAAGACTGGGTCCAGCCACTCACAATAAGTACTAACACAGGCTTTAATAGAAACCCCAAATACAGAAATTACATTTTGGCCGCGCAATGTGGTCTTTGTCGAGTCTGGAGACATGAAACACCCACATGAGCGTTGCTATGTAACGCAGTCAATAGATGGATGCTATACAGTCCAGAAATTGATAGTCAAATGACTATTCATGCAGGCAAAATAATTGATTGGATCCTGTGACGAAATGCCTTTTGTCCCTGGATTGTTAGGTGACAAGCTGCCCTTTGCCCCCGGCTTTTGGAGGAGCCTGATTGCCAGCCTCCTTCCTCATGACTATGGCCCTGGGGTGTATTGCCATTTAAAAAGACTATTTGGGGCTTATTGGCTTCTAAAGACAGTTTCTTCCCATTTGAATCCATGGGAAGGTGTGTTTCTTCCCCTCCCCCGTTTCCTGTCTATTGTTCTCCAGCAGGGCGTTGTCCCAGGCACACTGCCAAACCAGTTGGAACTGACTGCTTTTGTCCCTTCTTGGTTTCTCAACAGCCCTTGCTATGCTTTACTCCGTGGAAAATCTACTCTGTTCATGGGATCTGAGCGCTGTTCATCTAGATTGGGCGCTCAGATCCGAGCTATCTGGGGATAGGTTAAATGTGGGGGTTCTGTGTAATAAAATAAGAATTATGTATTTTTATGTACTTTTACGTATTTTGCTGTTAGTGTTAAATGTAGATATTTTCTGTACCTGGAGATAATTGAGTTTACTGCAGTGCCTTAAGCCAATTATCTCCAGGATGGAGAGGAGGGATTTCATTGTGTATGTGAGAGTGTTATCATGTTAATTAGTGTTCCCATTGGTTTGTGTCCCTTTTGTCACAGTTTACCACCAGGTCCAGGGGGTGTGCCTCTGACCTGAAAACTTGTATATAAGGAGTAATAAACGCTCATTGGAGACAGATCATCTTGTACCTTCATGAAGTTTCGGCTCATGTTTGGGGGATTGGAGAAACTACACTCTGGGGATTGCTATAATCACTATACTCCCCAGGGTATAATCACTAAGCTCTGCTAAGAGCTTGTTCCTGTTCCTGCTCTCTGGAATTGGGAGAGAGGTCGACCTGCTGGAAGCTGGACCCTGGTCCTGGGTCCAGAGTGGGTGGAGACGGCGAGACCCCAACCAAGCTGCGGCGGTTTGTGGGGTCTGCAGTGGTTATGGTGTCAGGCAGAGTGCTTGGAGTCCTCGGAAAGCACTAGGAGCATCCGTCGGCGGAAGGTACCCGGTCGGGGTGCCAGCGGTTCCGTTACAGATCCTATTTGAGCTAGAATATTATGAGCAGTACTTTATCTGCTCAATGTTTGTGAGTGACCATTTTTCCTTTTTTTATATTTGTTTATTGCTAAAGGTGTTATACTCGGTTTGTTTTTTCTCTCTCTTTTTATATGTGCTGATGTGGATTTTATTTCAAATTATTATGCAATCTCAATGTCTATGGGTATACACTTACATAATATTTATATATTTATACTGCAAGAAGTGTGTAATGCAAATGCCTCATATTCTACCATAATACCAAGAAATATAAAGCATATTCATTTTGTAAATTATTGTTTAATTATTAAATATTAATTCAATGATTATTCTTCATATTTGAGCCTTGGTCACATCAGAAAGTTTTTCTAACGGTATTGGATCATTTGGAAAGCTTATTAAATTGAGGTCTATGTAAGCCTTAAGTTGACTGCCCTATTCTCGTGTATTACTACTATTTCAAGCAGTCTCTTTATGAGGTTACCATTCCTGCTCTAGGGTTTATTATTCTCTTTAAGAGCTATATTATCACATAGCGGAGCTTTACTCTGTGCCTATTTGTCCCGGATTCCACCCATCTTTTTAAAAATGAACAAATGTATCTGTGTTAGACCTTAATATACTTTTCTGATTGTCTTTGTAGTTCTCACATTCTGTCTGCCATTAATATTTTAAATAACTGATTTAATACATTTTGATTTATTATCATGATTCTCACTTTATTTACTATTAACTGAACCTACTTGCTTTTCCACATTATTTCATCACAATGATGCATGATCTTTAACACCTTCAGGACGGAGTCAATAGTGCACGTTCTGATCAAAACAAAACGTAATTCACCGCTGTCACATTAAGTGCACCCACACTTATTATATATCATTTTGTTCAGGAGAAACAGGGCTTTAATTTATCATTAACTATTCATATATGGAACATAATTTATTATGAATAAAATTTAAAAAAATGTGAGAAAATTCGATTTAATTTTTTTTAAAATTCTTTATTTTTGGTATGACAGTGCGGTACAGTGGTGAGGAACTACATGCATTACATGGTATGGGTATTGATCAGCTTTGGTTGGTAGCTGATCCTTATTCCAGTTTACATCTGATTATACCACCGTTACAGTTCGCATGTTTTTGTTCATTTTGCAAGAATGTGCTATTTGGTGTCATTTTTGTAAAAAAAAAAAGGAAAAAAAAAAAACATGCAATAACAATGTATTATAATTACAGCCAAAGTCAAACTCTGGTTTCAGCCCTTAGTAATCTATGTTATTAGGTATGAAACCGTACTCGTTGCGGGGGGAGCTTGGCCCTTTGTACTTAGGTACTTATAATCTTGGTCCCTTTTCTGGCAATACGGAGCGTCGTGGTGGGAGGCTCTTTTGGTGTCAAATTGGGTGTTGAAACCGCGGGAAGTCCCTGGTATGGTACTCTCTCAGGTCTCCCAGTCCCCTGTTATCCAAGGGTCCCAGACTTTTTCATAAAGTTTCATGTTGCCTCTCACTAGTGCCGTAAGGTGGTCCATGACCTGTATATCTTTTATTTTGTGGATTACTGTATTTATCTGGGGGGTTGTTGTTTTAAGCCATGCCTGCGCCATGTGAGTCTGGCCGCGAGCGTGATTTTGTGTAGGAGTTTCTGTTCCCTCCTGGGCCAGTCGTCTAGTGTTCTGGAGAGCAGAAAAACCCATGGGTCTAGTGTTACTTTCCTGTGGAAAACCTTATCTAGGAGGTCGCCTACTGCCCTCCAGAGGGTCTGCGCTCTCGGGCAATCCCAGTCTGTGCTGTTTGTGCATAAGTATGCGTATAGGTATGAGATGAGTCCCTTTGGGGGGTTTTCATTAAGGCACATTCGTTCAAAGCCCGTGTGCGCAGTTTGTGCCGCCGTTTTAGCTAGATTATGTCATGCAAAGTCTCTGATTTGAATATATCTAAAGAAGTCTGGGGGACTTAGCCTGGTCCTTTCCTGTAACTTGTCAAATGTCACTATTTGGTTTCCTTCATATATGTGGATCGCCCGCTGTAGGCCCGCCTCCTCCATGTTTTTGAAGTCTCGGGCCCTCATTCCTGGTGGGAACGCTCTGTTCCTCGACAGGGGCATCAGTGGAGAGGGTGAGGTGGTTAGTTTGTATTTTTGGGCCGCTGCGTCCCAGACCCGAAGGGAGTTTAGGATAGCTGCGCAATTGGTGTGTAGGATAGCCCTGTATTCCCTGGGAAGCCATATGAAGAATTGGGGCGGGTCAGCTCCCGTGATGCCAGATTCTAGGTCCGCCCATCTGTTGCGTGCGACTCTGTGGCGCTTGTGTTGCCAAATAAAATCCCCTATGGACCTCTGCAAGGGGTCTAATTCTGTTTTAGTTATGGGTATGGGGAGTGCTTGGAAGAGGAGTCTGGGGAGGACGTTCATTTTTATCGTGTGGACCCTTCCTATCCAAGATATAGGTTTTTCAGTCCATCTGTCAAGATCTGCGCCAAGGGTCTTAAGAAGGGGTGTGTAATTTGCCCCGTACAGCTTTGTGGGGTCTGCGGTCAGTTGTATCCCCAAGTATTTTATGGATGTTTGCGCTATAGGTATGTGGTGTTGGGTTCTTATGTATGATGTGTCGTTCATTGTCATTGCTATTGGGAGTGCGGCGGATTTGCATAGGTTGACCTTATATCCCAATAGGGCTCCATATTCTGTTAATTCTCTGTCTAAGGCCACCATTGAGCTCCCTGGGTTTTTTAAGTGTGAGAAGGACGTCGTCCGCATATCCCGATACTTTATATGTTTGGTCCCCCACTGTGATTCCCTGTATTGATTGGTTCGATCTGATTGCTTGCAGTAGGGGTTCTAATGTGAGTACGAACAGGAGGGGTGACAGTGGGCAGCCCTGTCGCGGGCCGTTGTGTAGGGTGAGAGGGGTTGTCGTGGCACCCGGGATCTGAATGTGTGCCTTGACGTCTGTATACATGGCTTGGATCGTGGTTATCTACAGCTCAGGGAAACAGAGATGTCTGAGGAGTTCGAACAAGTATGTCCATTTTAGCCTATCGAACGCCTTTTCGGCGTCGAGAGAGAGAATGAGCGTTGGTGTGTGCGTGGTCGTCTGTGTCCAGATCAAGTCAATGTTGCGTCTGGTGTTTTCAAATAACTGTCTTCCGGGGATGAAGCCCACCTGATCTGCGTGGACTAGGTTCGTTAAGTGTGGAGATAGTCTGTCCGCTAGTATCTTGGCTAGTATTTTTACGTCGTGGTTGATCAACAATATGGGTCTGTAATGTTCGGGGTAAGTCGTATCTTTTCCCGGTTTGGGTAACAATACTATGTGGGCCGTGGACATGTCTGGGTCTGGATGTCCGCCCTGCATCAGGTAGTTGAACCACTTTAGTAATTGCGGTGTCAGTTCTTCTCGGTATGTCATAGTAGCTGCCCTCGTAGACATCGGGGCCCGGGGCCTTATGCCCTTTAAGGCGTGATATGGCTCTGTCTATTTCATCTGCTGTGAATTCGTCTCCTAGGGACTCTATTGCTAAAGGGGGCAGTTTCGGGAGGTCGATTTTGCTAAGGTATTGTCCGATCACGTCTCGCATGTGTGGTGCTTTGTCGGCCTTGGTGGGTGTGTGGTTGTACAGGGAGTGCAGAATTATTAGGCAAATGAGTATTTTGACCACATCATCCTCTTTATGCATGTTGTCTTACTCCAAGCTGTATAGGCTCAAAAGCCTACTACCAATTAAGCATATTAGGTGATGAGCGTGGTAAGCCTCTTATGGTCCCTCTATCAATGGCCGGGCATGGGGCGGCGTTAAAGTCGCCCCCCATGATAAGCATGCCGTGTGGTAGAGTTTTTAGTTTGTCCGCCAATCGATCCCAGAAATCTCTGGATGGTTCATTGGGTGCGTAAATGTTTATGAGGTGGATGGTGTGAGTGTATAGCGTCCCCAACAGTATAAGATATCTTCCGTCCGTGTCTGTGTGGACCCCTGTGACTCGCAGCGGACAACGTTTGTGTATTAGTATCGCTACTCTGTTGCGTTTGGAGTGTGATCTAGCCTCATATCCTGTACTGTATATGTGGTCCTTGAGAGTTATTCCCAGGGTCTTGGGTAGGTGGGTTTCTTGTAGAAAGGCCACGTCGTGGCCTAGTCTCTTAAGTTCTCTGTATAATAGTCTGCGCTTTTTAGGAGCGTTCAGTCCCTTGACATTTAGGGAATTTATGCGTGTAGACATAGTGGTGTCTGAGGTGTATGCGTGTGGGCTAACTTACGGGTGTTGTCATCCGGCTGGCCCTGGGGGTTGTCCTTTGGGTTGCCTCCTAACTCTGTCGCTGCGCTCACCACATTCGGGTTACTCCGGCCACCATGGGGGGGGAGGGAGGAGGGAAAAAGAGAGGTTGTTAATCAGAACATAAACATAAACATATATACAAAAACTGAGTGAACTGGTAAACCGTCTGGTCTTATCTCTTGCCAGACTTGTGTGGGGCGCCTGCATCAGCGCAGCTGGCCCATCCACATAGGGGTCAGCTCGCAGATGCATGATCCCGAATCTATACAGACTTGGCCTGAGGCCCTTTAGTGTTTGCATGAGCACGTCTGCGGGGCTGTCCCGATACCCTGGCTATCCTGCCCGTCGGTCCCTATGTCGCTTAAGAGGCCGGGGGTCTCAACTCCTGTTCCTGGTTTGCTTTTGGGTCTCTGAGCTTTTGCGGTCATGTTGGGGGGGCAGGCCGACAAGCGGTCAGTGGGAGGGGAGGGGTCCTGTCACCATCGCCGTGGGGTGTCCACTGGCTGCGACAGTCCCTCCGTGTGTGTCCTGCTGGATGTGGTGCCATGACATGTTATTTCCGAGGTGTATGAGTGCCCACGTGTTTTTGTGTACCCCGGTAGACTCCGTGTCTAGCCTGTGTGTCCATTCGCCGTAGGTAGTTGAATCTTGGTAGAGTTTTGTTTGCTATCTAGTGTTTGCATGTGTATAGTAGCTTGACCTGTCTGCGTCTGCTCTGATCGTTCAGTATAGTATAGCTATTTGAAAAGATTTTTTTTAATTTGTATTTCCATCTGCCATTTTAGCTGTTAATGTCATAATACTGTTAGATTTTACTGCAAAAAAAAATGCACATATTTGTAATCAGAGATGTCTCACAAGTACAACAGTACCCCCATTAACAGGTTTTATGGTGTTTTGGAAAGTTACAGGGTCAAATATAGAATGTTCCATTTTCAAATTGAAATTTGCCAGATTAGTAATGTTACCTTTGAGACGGTGTGGTAGCCCAGGAATGAGAATTACCCCCATAATGGCATACCATTTGAAAAAGTAGACAACCCAAGGTATTGAAAGTGGGGTATGTTTAGTCTTTTTAGTAGCCACTTAGTCACAAACACTGGCCAAAGTTAGCGTTCATATTTGTTTTTGTGTGAAAAAGCAAAAAACTAATATTTGGCCAGTGTTTGTGACTAAGTGGCTACTAAGAAAGACTGGACATACCCACTTGCAATACCTTGGGTTGTCTACTTTTGCAAATGGTATGCCATCATGGGGGTAATTCTCATTCCTGGGCTACCATACGCTCTCAAAGGCAACATAACCAATCTGGCACATTTCAATGTCAAAAAAATGAAATGCAAGCCTTATATGTTCCTCTCTAACTTTCCAAAACACCATAAAACCTGTACATGGGGGGTACTGTTATTCTCGGAAGACTTCACTAAACACAAATATTAGTGTTTTAAAACAGTAAAACATATTACAACAATAATATAGTCCATAAAAGTGCCGTTTGTAAAAAATGCAAAAAAACCTTCATTTTTACTTAAAATATCATCGTTGTAATACAATTTACCAGTTTGAAACACTAATATTTGAGTTCAGCGAAGTCTCCCGAGTAAAACAGTACCCCCTATGTACAGGTTTTATGGTGTCTTGGAGAGTTACAGGGTCAAACATAGTGCTTGCTAATTAAATTCTCTGCACTTTCTCCCTGTGTTGTCAGGCATGTCAATCAAATTTTAATTAATCAAATCACATAATTATGTTAAAAGATTACTTAAATATACACGTAGAATTTTAATATATATGCATTTATAGGTATTTAAATTCTAAGTGTAATCTTGTAATCTTTTATGTAATTATATGTATATATCTATATATATATTTGCGGTTATTTGTATTTTATATATAGATAGATATATATAGAATGTCATTCTAAGTGTATTTTGCTACCAATATATATATATATATATATTAATAACAAAATACAGTTAGAATGAAATTACATATGAATATATAATTTATATTAAATTTTGTTTCAATATTTTATTTTATTTATTATTGTAATTATACGTATATATATATATATATAAATATATAATATATGTGTATATATCGATTATATATATAATATATATACATATATATGCAACGTCATTCTAAGTGTATTTTAATATTAATATATGTGCTTATATTAATATATATATATGTAACATCATACGTAATGTATTTTAATAATATGTATATATATTTAATATATATATACATATATTATATATTTATAAATATATTTTTCATTTCCCACCAGCAGGGGGACTGTCTGCCATTTCAGACAGTCCCCCTGCTGGCAGATCCACAGCCAGCTATAGGGGGCCATGTGATCGCACTTTGAGAGCGATCACATGGCCCCCGGGGGTCTCATTTGCCGTGGGAGGGCTGCCTGTGCTGTGAGGCAGTCCTCCCGAAGCGGAGCGCCGGGAAGGTAAGTATCCCGGGCGCTCCAGGGCTCAAAGCTGTTATGGCGTTCTATGCCGCCGCAACGGCTTTAAAGCCCACTTAATGCGGGACGGCATAGAATGCCGTAACGGCGTGAAGGGGTTAAGTCACCGTTGCTGTATTTTTTCATCACAGAAATGCAAACCCAGAGGGGAGGAGCAATCAAGCAAGACACTATCTGTGACAGCTCGGAGCAAGCCTCCTGATTTTGGCAATTTTTCTCTGTTTTCAGCATGAATTGGTGCATTCTTTCAGCAGCTGTGACATCACTGACCCACACAATTATTGTGTATATATTATTATTGTTATTGTATTATTTTCTTATTTATATAGTGCCAGCAAATTCCATAGCACTATACAATGTATATATATATATATATATATATATATATATATTGCACTATACATATAATATATTAACACAAAGTGTATAATTTCCCATTGGCTGTTTTTCAATTAAAAAAAACAAAAAACAAATAAAGTCCAAGAGGTCATGGCTAAACTTGGCACACCAAATGTTCCTGAACTACCTTTCCTGTGATGCTCAACCAGAAAATATCTTGAGTCTTAATGTTTATTTCTACTTTATTAGTTCATGCTGTGATACTTGGTAACGGCCAAGTTCTAGCAAACAATAAACAACAAAAGTGCTGTTGCTCAAGATTTAAAAGAACAAGTGCTATTATATAGCAAAAGTGCTCTTTAGGTGTTTATACATAAATTAGTGGAAATAATGTCAGCCCACAATAAAACACATGTGTATATACTTGCAAACCTGTAAGTATACACTGATGGTATCTGCAAATGGGAGATAAAAACACAAGAAGCATTCCTAGTGCAATAAAGTTATAAATATAATACAAATATGAAAAACCCTCTGTAGGTATTAAACTCACAAGTTAGGAGTGGTAATAGCCCCACTCAAAGCTATAATGCCCAAGGAGGATCAGTCCATAGAGTGAGTGGGATCTGATAGATGCTCTGGTGACCCGGGTAACAGGTAAAAAAATTCCTTTATTATACTCATAAAATCACATCTAGCAGCAATAAAAAGTCCACCGTCTGCTCAACACCCCGCTGGGAGGGAAGTGCAGTTGAAATATAACTGCCGTCCTTCTCCTTCAGATCGCGGCTGGTCTTGCTGGTGTACAGACTTCAAACACTGCCGTGTTCCTGGTCCCGTGACGCGTTTCGCCCCTTTCGCTCTCTCAAATGAGCAGTATTTCCTCCCACCACTGTTTGTCTTTTATTTGCAAGGTGTTTTGCCGTGATCCAGTCGGCATATAATAATCTCCACCTCACATAGAGGGAGTCTCTGGAATATCAGAGTCCCATCAGCCAATTAAAGTGGGACCCCACACCACTTACATAAAAATATTTACATAGGCAGTATTATATCCCAGATGTACATAAAATCTGCATGTTGAAACAAGGAACCTATGTTCATTTCCCCGTTACTATACCAGATTAAAAAAAAAAAGGGGGAAGATCGTCTAACTCAAAACGTAAGGACAAGTCACTTATCTAAATGCAAATGTGACCTGTTCCTGTATGTTCAAAGATAAATAATAAATAAATAAATAAAAATGTGTGAGGAAGCAGAAAAAAAGGGA